CCCACGCCCTGCGTCAAGGCTAGATCAAGTCCACCAACGAGACCTGGCCGATTCGGGTATAAGACGTCATACGGAGAGAGTCGGGATGACTGGCCTAGACGCCGCTGAGGGAAGCACACGACTCGAGCTCGCGGTTGTCAGCGCCTCGATTGTGATTGGTCGGAAAAGTCGAAAGGCGGCTGCCCGTGGCAAGATTTTGTAGATCCGAAAGAGTGACTTCGGATAGAAGGCTCTCGTACGCTCGTTTCATATTGCTTTCCTGTCAACAAATCAAACAACCACGACTCCCTTGCTTTTTCCTTTGTGACAGCGCATTATTTCTTCAGCTTTTCACACCGCACATTATCCCGAGACGGCTTTGCGGAGAATCAGAGAAACAAGGCTCGAGCGGTGAAAAGCGTTGAGCTCTTCCCGCTTTCCCCGACGATCGTTTATCGCCAGCGCACGGCTTGCTTTTCGGCCTTTGCCCACCCATCTCCAAACCTTTTGCACCCTTCACACTCTACAATCCACCCAAAACCCACTCAAAAGCTATCGCAGCCCATCGACCTATACCGTCGAACCACGACTTTCGAATTGCTGCGACACGTAACATTGCAGCGACAACGCACATCACTCGGATCCACATAACCGCGCACACGATCTCACAATGAAGTATTTCCAGCAGACAGTCGACTTCGACTACTCGTGGGAAGAGGTCTCGACGAGCAACTGGCAGAAATATGGCCCTTGGAACGAGAAGACACCGCATGTCATCGCCGTTGATACATTAAGTCGCTCTGTCGACCCTGCGACAGGAATCGTGAGTGACTCCTTCTTTCACATGTCAATTCGGCACGCCCCACCACTATCATCGAGCAAAAAAACTAACACAACACAGCTTCGCACAGAACGTCTCATCACATGTCGGCAATCAGCACCGAAATGGATCCAAAGTATCCTCGGCGCCCAAGACACCTCCATGGTCTATGAGACTTCCTATGTCGACCCCGTTGCCAAGAAGCTCACCCTTTGCTCCATGAACATGACAATGTCCGACCTCCTCAACGTCCGCGAGACCTGCATATACCAGCCTGTCGCATCGTCACCCGACACCAAGACTGCTTTCACCCAGCGCGCTGAAATAACCGCGTTGTGCGGTGGCTGGCAGAAGATCAAGAACAGTATTGAGCAGTTTACTGTTGAGCGCTTCCAGCAGAATGCTGCCAAGGGCAAGGAGGGTTTCGAGATGGTGCTCGAGCGCGCGAGACAGGTGTTCCAGGAGCAAAGGGAGATCCTGGAGCTACGACAGGCGCAGCAGGATAGCAAGATCCTGAAGCAGGCCAAGATCTGAGAGGATTCGACAAAATCCCGCATCGTGGTCCTCAATATCCTCCAGTTAACGGACAGCCCGCAAGTGCTGCGAGCCTACCCGTTCAACATTACCATACGGTCCTTCGGTTATCCCCGCTCGATCTATTCCCATCCATCTCGACTCCTTTACGTCCTTTCGTTTTCTTCTTACAAGCGTTCGCGTTTACTGGGTGGGATATCTTTCTTCAAAAGTCACTTTAACGGCGTTGTCAAAAGCATGGGAAAGGCGCGGATACCCTTTACTTCGCATATTAGACGCCATGATGCATCCCATACACGATAGAGACGAACTATATAAGCATTATTAGAGTATCTGAATCATCAAGAAGAATATTGCTACTTCGATATTCTTACCACTACTTTTGGCCCTTCATTCTGTGAGTGATAGGAGGTTTCGTTTACTTGTAAATGAACTGCATGTATCTGTCTCACACGTTCACCGATGGTCAGGAACCTCATCTTATAGATGTCTTCTCTCAACTTCCAATACATCGCAGCAAACATGGAATGCCCACCCACGCAACAACGTATATCTAACATCAATGTCCGCCGTACTTAAAACCTCTTTCTAATGTGAATGCCAGAATTGCCTGTTGGCTTACGCCCATCATACCCAGATGGCACAATACCCCCATGTAGCCTTTGGCAATCTATTGGCGTCCTCGACGACGTATCTGATCCTCGTGCTGGAGCCAGTTCCAATCAGATTTTACTCACATTGTTTATTCACTGTGGGCGAGGTTGACTGCCTTGGGCCACTCAGTCTCTTATAGCTCGTTTTCCTAGCTAAGCACAGGCTCTCGGGCTATCTATCGTAGCTGTAGACGTCTGAACACTCGATCTAGATGTTCTTACGGTAGATTTGGTGCAAACATCTAGCGGCACTTTGATCCTTTTCAGCTGCCTTAGGCAACACTTCTTCGACAGTATGGACATTGTCGGAGGCGTGAAGCGCTTCAATGGGCTCTAGAACATCATCCGCGGGCACTCCTCGATGTCGAAGCAACGCATCCTGGAGTTTGATCCACTCGAAATAGTGGAGAGGATGATGATGCAATCTCATGTGCGAGTGACAAGGTGGGATGCTGCTGCGGGGAAGTTGCGAGCGGCAGCTTATCTCCGAGCGGCACTCTCAGCACTCAACACATGGTTCGATGATTCATGTCCAGCCGAAATATTCAAAAGCATCGAGGAGTCATTAAGCGGTTCCACAACACGCGAAATCACACCGTAGTGGTCTCAAACTACAGTGCTTCCCGCGCTGATATTCCAGTCCTGCCTGAGCCAAGTTCCACATACACACTTACATCGACATGAAGCAAGTGGATTCAGAGGGCTCTGGAATGGGTGGCGCATCTGGCGTCACTCTTCCAGAAACATCAGCTGTACTCAATGTAGAAGAATACGCCTCTAAACCACAAAGCCACGGCCGTACAGGATTCCCAAAACAGGATGGACAGTCACTTTCGTATTGGCTACAGCAAGTTCGATGCGATCCGCTACTAGACCACCGCACAACGGATGAACTACCTCACGAAGCTGATACGGTCATCATTGGTTCTGGCATTACGGGAACACTAGTCGCAAAGCAGCATTTGGAGACATTTCCTGGCAAGAGTGTCGTCGTCCTCGAGGCACGGGAGTTCTGCTCCGGTGCGACAGGTCGTAACGCGGGTCATTGTAAACCTGATCAGTGGCGACATTATGAGAAATTTGCCCAAGCGTATGGACAAGACCAAGCCCTCAAAATCATGGACAATGAGCAAGCCACATGGAGAGCGTTGGTAGCGTACGTCAAAGAGAATAATGTGGCATGCGATCTCTGGATTGGAGAGACCCTAGACGTTCCCCTTGATGACGAAGTCGCGAAGATAGCCAGAGAAGTCTTCGAGAGGTATGTTGAAGCTGGTGGGAAGGTCGAGCACATCGAAGCTATCCACGATCCTATTGAAGCAGCAAAAAAGTCCCGAATCAAGAGTGCGAAAGCATGTTACGCATGGCAGGCGTCAACTTTGCAACCGTGGAAGTTGACGGCGCACATCATGCGCGACAATATCACCAAGGGCGTCAACCTCCAAACCCGCACTACTGCTAAGTCGGTCTCCAGCGGAACGGGGTCCAGAAAATGGGTGGTTCACACGGAGCGAGGTGACATCGCATGTGACACGATTGTGCACGCTACAAACGCCTATAGTGCAGCCCTCGAGCCATCACTTCGCGGTATGATCACACCTAAACCGCATATGTGCAACAGGGTCGTACCACCACAAGCCTTGAGCGGATCCAAAGCTATTGGGAACTCATATGGCGTTCTGCTACCGGATGGTGCATTGTTCAGTATCAACCCGCGCTCGTCTTCTGATGGTAATATCATGTTTGGCGGCTCCAACCCAGGGCAAAAGGAGCTTGATGCGTGGGTTGAGCAGAACCCAGAAAACTGCACCAACGACGGAATCGCAAACCTGGAGAGTGTGACAAAGCATGTCAAGAAGTTTGCAGAGGCAGAATTCGAAGGCTGGAATACCACCCCGACAGGCCCAGGGGAAGGGTTCGAGTACAGTTGGAGCGGTATCATTGGGCTGAGCGCGGACGGTGTACCATTCGTCGGAGAAATACCCGGAAAGCCTGGACAATATATCTGTGCCGGCCACCACGGGCAGTAAGTTCAATAGCTTGGTAGGGAGTGCAAGGCTAACACCCGGACAGTGGTATGGCGCGAATCTTCACAGCAGCGCCTGGCTTGGTGAAGCTCATGAATGGTGAAGAATGGGGTGCAACGGAGTTGCCAGAGGTGTACCAGATGACGCCTGGAAGACTGGCGAAACTGACGAGTATGGATCCCGCACCTGCCATTGCGGTCATATGAGAAAAGGAATTTGTGGTTCCAAAGGTGTCAGTCAGTAGTACGCGCGCGAGCTATATCATGACTCGCGCACGCAGAACTCTTTCTGCTTTCTTTCGCTCAAGCTACCAAAAATAGCATGTTGAACCACGAGACACAAGCAGCGCACAACTCCCGTAGCCATCTCCGGAACGCTTGCGCGACCACAATTTCAACCCCATGGCCTACATTGGTTCACCAGCGTAAGAGGCGGTGAACTGTGACAATCGGAACCGTGAAATGGCATCCCGCAATCCACACTTTTTCTCTGTACTTTCCTAACACAGTAAATATTCATCTCCCCTTCTGTTCGCCCTCGCATTAGATCGTGGTAGCGAGTCCGCAGCGGTAATTTGCCTGGTGTTGTGCCGCTTCGAGCTATTGGTTTGGGTGTTGTGGAGATTTGACACGGCGGTGTTGTGCTAGGTAGTTGTTGGTGGTGGCGGAAGAATAGGCAATATAACGACAGGGTCGAGCATGTTCGTACGACGATGAGCGCATGGTTCTGAGTAGGAATATCTCTTTATCATTTTTGCAGCCCTGTCTTTGCACTGGCAACAAACGTTCTGACTGCGATGATGGTTCGCGGAAGGTGCGGGGTTCTCTCGGGCCGACATCGTTGCGGCTGCGGGCAGGAGTGGTTGTCTCTACGGACTATATATGTCCGCTCATACAAGCCTCAAATGACATTCAGGGTATAAAACATCGTGAAGACACTAGTTGAACCTCGAATTCGCGCGGACACATATACGAGCAGGATCACGTCATGTCTACCCTGGGAAACAATATCAGTCGGACGCTTGATGTCCTACTTCCAAAGATACGGTCCCGCCGTCAAGAGTCGTCAGAACCTATCGTACTTGGTATCACAGGCCTACAAGGTTCAGGCAAATCGACATGGGCATCGGAGCTTGTCAAGATCCTGTCACAGGATCACGGTCTCTATACGATAACTGTTTCGTTGGACGACTTCTACAAAACCCATGATGAGCTAGTAGCACAACGGGATCGTGATCCCAACAACAAGCTTTACCGTACTCGTGGACAGCCTGGTACACACGACGAGCAGCTAGCCCGAGAGTTCTTCACCGATTTGAAGAAATACAACGGGAGAGGCAGCCTCAAGATCCCGAGCTTCGATAAGAGCAAGTACAATGGCGAAGGCGACAGAGCGCCCCAATCAGAATGGACGACAATCTTGCAAAAACCGGATGTTGTCGTCTTTGAAGGGTGGTGCGTGGGCTTCCAGCCCGTTCCACAGTCTTTCATAGAAGAAAGATATACGCTGGCAAAAGCCGGGAAGCTCACAGTCAATACCCCTGCGAATCACCAACTTCCGCATTTGTTCGAGGTGAACGAGAATCTCGAGCGCTACTGTGATGCATTTATGGGACCCAAGCAATTTGATTTCTTCATCCATATTGATACGGACGACCTGAGAAATGTGTACATATGGCGTCTGCAGCAAGAGCATAAGATGATTGAGGCGAAAGGATCAGGAATGTCAGATGAGCAGGTTCGTGCGTTCATCGATGGTTATATGCCGAGCTATGAGATATACCTGGAGCGGCTGCGCGAAGGATTGTTTGACGACAGAAGTAGGATGGTGAGGGTGGTACTGAATAGAGAAAGAGGAGTCGAGAGAATTGAGGAGCTGTGATGAAGCAAGTGTCTTCTTTACTGAGCTCCGATCGCGTTGGGACGATAGCAAAGGCGCGCAATGAAGAGAAACGACAGACTAGCGAGTGGGGGATAATGAGCCGCATTTGTAACAATGACAAAACTACATTTGCTACCTGTCGTTTCAAAGCTTGCGCTATGCCTAGCACACTGACTTTCGTATTCGCCTTCACCTTCACTGCGCGTATATCCATGTCTCGGTCAAGGTCTCTACGACACAAGATCATTTGCCATATGGTCTTCTCCACCTGAGATTCCTTCAAGTTCTTCTCCGCATTTAGTTATGTCTTTCCCAGCAAACCATTATCAGATCCTTGGTGTAGACGTCCAAGCTGACGACGCTGCGATTAAGAAAGCCTACAAGAAGCTTGCGCTGGAGAACCACCCCGACAAAACTTTGCACCTATCAGCAGCACTAGTCGAGAGGCGGACAAAGATATTCAAGCTAGCGACTACAGCTTACGAGATCCTACTCGACCCTATACAGCGAGCGAAACACGACAAGACTCTAGCGCAGTCAGTGAGGCCTTCATATACGAAAGCAGAACAACCTTTCCACCGACCGGGTACAGGAGGTACGGGACCCTTTCAGCACCAGTATCAGCAACCTCCAAACCCCCCAAAACCTCCCGATCCTTTCCGGCCCCCAAAGTTCCATCCTTTCGGTGCACCACCGCCAAATACCTCAGCACCACAACCCCCAAGAAGACACCCCTTCACATCTGGCACTCCCCCCGGACCTATAGGCACCACACCATCTCGCTGGTTCTATGCGCCCGTCTCGGAAAATCCCATTCGCACGAACCTTTCCTTCTTAAACCACGCTGGTTGGCACTTCAGAATTGAAGTGTCCAAAAAGTACAAATGGATACTCCGGCCTGTTTTGCCCCTCCTGAATGCCGACACAGAAGGCGACATCATGGTAAGAATATCCGTACAACGTAACACCTACTCCGCCACTGTCAACGCTCTGAAAGATGTCGTTATAGACGTCAAAGCCACACCCGGGAACAAGAGTACGGCATTGAGTTCCGTCTTCAAGGAAACCAGACAGGGTATAGAACTTTGTGTAACAATCGGAACCCTGCCTGTCACTGCCACTGCCCCACTTCCACCGATGCCAGCATGGAGTTGGTCCTTTGATGTTGATTTAGGTTTCTTGATACCGTTTTACAAGGAACTGCGGGTTAGCCATCTCATGTTTTACCCCCATTACCCTTCACATGCTGTAGGGAAGGATGGGGCAGTGCCGGCGAAAGAGCCGTTTCCTATGGGGTCGCCTCAGGCTGAATTGGTGAGTTTGTTTGAGGGGATACAGTTTGTGGCGATGTCCAAGGGATTCTATTGTGAAGAAGTGGGGTGGGCAGGAAGGAAACGTTGGCGGCTTGCTGCTGTGGGCTCCGTATGAGATATACAACAGAAATGCTGTATTGGAGATACAGTACTGGCGCTGTCGCGGTCAGCATAGAAAAGGTCGTCTTTGATTCAAAGACAGGATGTGAATTCGTGCAGTCCGCCTGTTGGTAACCATGTAATCGTTCTTGATTCTATACTCTATGAAATCAGGCCGCTCAAACGCCTTGAATGCAAACGACCCAGGGATAGCCTATAACACACCAGGAATAGGGCCCTTCTTTTCGTTCGAGCCCAGCTCTTCCTCGTTCCACCCACTCTCAGCACCGACCTTGCGTCCACCCTCCTCTCTCTTGACCCTGCACCAAAGGCTGATGTCCTTGTCCCAGATGAACTGCCACAAAACGTACACCCAGCTCTTGTGTTGTGGCAAGTCTTTGTAGAAGTCGTGCGCGATGCGGTTCAAGGTGTGTAGGCGCGTCCAAGGGATGGCAGGGAAGTCGTGGTGCTCGTTGTGCAGGCCAACGTTGTAGGTGAAGAAATTCAGAGGTCCGTAGTACGAGTATGTTTCCGGGAGCGGAATCTTGTTGGCGGGATTCGCAGCGTCTTTGTTGGGCTTCTCGAAAACGTAATGTTCGGCGATGAAGTGGCCGGCGCAGGGGTGGAGAGAGCCGGCGAGGAAGCTGCTCATGATCAAGTATCCCAAGGCCCTTCCTCCTGCGAATCGAACGAGTGCGTAATCGAAGGCTAGCTGTACGACGACGTTGAAGAGGTGGATCTTGGTCATTGGCAGGGCGTAGACGAACATGGGTCGCAGGGCGTAGAAGAGGATCTGGAAGGTCGCGAAGAAAGCCTTGCCGGCGACCGAGTCGAGGAAGATGGCTTCAAAGGCGGTGGGCAGATCTGTGTCGAGACCATTAACACCCAGCGACTTGTGGTGTGTCAGGTGGTAGGGCCTGAACGAGGCGCTGTACGGGATGCCAATTGGCAGGTTCGCAAAGACGGCGAAGACCCTGTTTGCCAATGGCGATCGGAAGGCCAGATTGTGTGAGATCTCGTGGATGGCGAGAAAGAGATTCTGGTTGGCCGTAGCACCAATGACGTATGCGGTGAGGAAGAAGGGCCATGATACAACGGGTGTATTGCGCAGAGCGTATGCACATAGGACTTGGATAGATACGACGAACAGGACAACGTATTTGGTAAGAGGCTCAGGGCCACAGAGCTTCGTCACCTGCGTTGAATGAGCATGTGATTGATTGAATTAATTTGGCATCGATGATACCTCTGGGTGTGCCTTGATGATAGCCATGCGCCGTGTTCTGTGCGGCTCCTCGGTGTATGTCCAGAAAAAGTGGTCGTGTTCATTCTCGACCATTGGCTCTTCCTGCTTCTCTGCCCTGACCGTGAAACCTCGGGGCACAGGCTCCTTGGACGGCACCGTCGCTGTAGAGACTGAAGACCGCATATTGGGCAGTCGTGGGAAACAATTGCAGAAAGTGTGTGGGTGGAAAGAGCGGAGGGGTTGAGCTCTGAGAGTTTGTGGAGTACTTGACCCTGAGCTCGGCGCTAGTCGGAGGCGGTGGGGCCATCTCGTCCCATGGTTGGCTGATAACCACGTTCCGCTCGCCACCCCGCTAGCGCAGGAACGTTGGGCCCGTCTTCTAGAACGCTTCCGTTGACGCGTTTTTACTCACTTCAATTCTACATGCCGGACACTATGATAACTATTTCGCATATCAAGCTACTCCAGTACTCATTCTTCGCGACCTCACCATCTACGGATTAGGGCAGTTTTTCTCTAGTCAACCAGTCCTACTCAAAACACGCGTTATAAAGTACGCCATTACAGTGCCATTCTATTTCAGTATCACATACAATATACTAGTAAAGGATTATGATATTTTGCTACCTTTCACGTCACTCCTAATCTCCCTCCCAATGCCTTTCCAGTTCCCCACTTCGTCATCGCTCCTCTTCCTCCTTGTGAAGCTTGACTGCCTAACCTCCACAAACCAAACAATACCCCAGTAAACAACCGATAAAGATACGAGAAGCCATGCTAGCCACACGATCAAAAGTACGGATGTACCTTGAACGACGTCCGTGCCAGCGACGTCGACGATCTCGCCAGCCAGTAGAAAGACGCCAGAAATAACTACCGTCAGCAAGATGGCGGCGACAAAGGCGAATGCGCTCGCAAGGACTGGCCAAAACATGTTGAAGTAGGCGAGGAGTTTCGAGTGTGGGAAGAAGATGGCAGGAATAGCAGAGACGGCGGAGAACCCAGCACCGACAAGCGAGATGAGTAAGGAAGCAAAGATCGCTTGTCGCACGCCGGCCAGTATGGTGACCATGGTATTGAGGAGCGTAGAAACTAGGAATATTGGGGATAATGAGTCTCTAGATCCAACAGCAGGCGTTGTCAGTGTCGACAGGCCTACGAACGTCCGGTCAGCTGAGGCACGACCACATTGCAGATTTGGTTCACTTACGATCGCTGGCTGTGCTGTAGCTTTCACATCGTTCTACAATGACGACGTCAGAAGCGTCGTCTGGAGAGTTCGAAATGGACCCAGAGCACACTGTCCTTAGATGAAGATAGTAGACGTCTGCGAGCGCTTCTTCATTTACACCTTCCGATCGCGTTGATGGCGCGTCTGGCTGTCTGCCTTCTTGGGTAACCGCAGAGCTGTTCAGCTGCTTTCCGTAAGCACTTGACCTCCTCAATGTTTAGCTAAATACCTACAGCCACCATGTACTGCCCACCGAAAGTGTGTTCGTCGCTTCCTGCGAGCACCAGCACCAGCGTAAGCACGAAGCTCGCAACAGCAAATGCGATTGGGAAGAAGGCAGAGAAGCGATACTTCATCAACACCCTCTTCGGCGTCTTGGGAGGCGCAGGTAGAGCCTTGTCGGTGGACTTTCGCAAATCTCCAAGATCAGGCTCGATTGCAATTTCTTTCTCCAAGTAAAAGGTCCCTTCTATGTGATCCATTCTTTCCGTCTAGAGGTAGTGTGGCGGACAGGCGCTAGGAGTAAGACCGACAGTATTGACGGTTGTCAATACATAAGAATAGGTGTGTGCTGTCCATAACAGGAGACATATAGGCGAGTCAGAGGAAACATAAGTAGATCGCTTGGACATGTGCGCAGTATGACGCAACTGCTTCCGCTATCGCGTAACCCAATCTCGATGTTTGACCTGCATGGATGCACGTGGTAGGCTTGTTGCATGATTATAGTGTTGCATGACGGACCTGCTATATTCTGTCGCGGATACGGCACTTGCAGCCTCGTGTGTGGACAAACCGGTGGTTTCAAACATCATTTTAGTTGCCGGATCGAGATTGATGTGCGGATTTGGCGATCGACGTTCCTGTTTCGTCGCTGCGAGACATGGCCCAAGCGTCGCATTGGTGAGCGTCCGAGGATATCAACCGGCTCCAAGTGCATTGGATTCGGATTGGTTCGTCAACATCTGGAAAACTCGAACTTGTTCGTTGTGGGTGTTGAGCCGATTTAGGAGCGGTCAGATTGTTTGCACATGTGAGGTCGCGGTTTGCGCAGAAACGAGAAGCGCTTCACTAGTGCAACTGAAACACTATACCGACGATCGCAGCTTCTCAGCATCTTAGTGAGTAATTTGGAGTTGCTCATTGGCGCTTGTCAAATTTTCCCAGCCGTCCACTATAGACGAAGACTTGATACGGACTATGGCTAGCTACCCTGCTACTAGAAAAGCGAGCGTGGTGGATATTCACCGTAAGGCTGCGTCTGAATATCGGAAAACACATCATTCTGATAGTAAGTCAGTCTTGAAGTTTTTAAAAAAAAGCAAGACAAACTTACCCAGTCAAAAGGTAAGTTAGGCTGGTCTAAATCCATGGGCATATAGCCAAAGTCGAACGGATGTCCGAAAGCACCATTGCCCATACCAAAAGGAACTGGCGCGGTAACAGCAGATCCAGGGTCGCTGAAGTCGAAAGATGGTGCTGGAGAAGTAATGTTGAGCTGTGCACAAGAGACAGTAGCTGTTCGATCAAATCAATTTACATGAACAGAGAGTGGAGCAAATAAACTTACTCTGTGCAGAGTCCGCAACCTGTTCCTTCGTATTGCACGCTCTAGAGAGGACAAGTTTTACGGCTGTGGCTACCTTACGCGCCTCTTGAGACCTCTTACTGGCTCTAGACCAAATGCGGTACGCAGACCGCAATGATGCTACAATTTCCTCGCGTGTAGGAGGTGCATGATCTAGTCTCATCTCGCTTTGCGTGGACTCAGGGGCCTGTAGAACAGGAGGGATGGGGTCTGCGTCTAGTTCGAGGACTAGGACAGTAGTCGCGAGAAGAAAGTCTTGTGCAACGACCGAAGACATGTACCAACTCACGGTAGAAAGCCGCCACCCTGGAGTAAACAATTTGCCTCCTGGTTGAACCTCGGCATCAATCTTGTTCTGGAAGTCAAGCATTTCTATGGAGGCATTTAGACATACTCTTCGAGAGTATGTATATCTGGCATCTGTTCGTCCGAGTACAAGGTAAGGTCTGTGCAACATAAGCTCAGCTTTCAGGAACGCCAAGTCTAAATACAAGTGGCGCATAGAGGTTGGTGACAGAGCGCTACCAAAATCCTCGACGGTGCTGGCTATGGAGGATTGTGGTACCCCATCGAAGACTCGTCTTAGAGCAATATCGATATCGTTGATCTCTCGGTATGGTGGCTGAGAAGTAGTATTGACTAGGTCCAAGATTCGTGCCTGGAGATGCCGCACTCTTGTGAGAATGATGGAGTAGAGCAGCTGCGTCAACTCAGTTTCTGGCCTTGACGGTGGCAGTTCTAGCATGTCTTCGTGGAGGTCGTCTTCGTCCAGGTTGCGAGGCTCTTGAGTGTCGTACATGAATGGCATGATCATTCTCGGCAATCCGGCCTGAGCAGAAGTAATGAGATCGAGTGACATGACTACAAGCCACTTGCGACGTCGCAGCTCGCCTCTATAAGGTGATATGTTCGGGAATCTCGATGGATCTCTGTGGTAACCCATGCGGAAACAAAGGCGTACGATCATACCTACAAGCATGTATACGCTGAATTGGCTGTCTACTGAGCGAACGAACTCTGTACCAAAATAGAGCAGAAATGCCTCGATCGTATATGGTGGGGTCTTGGTATAGTTCGCGAGGATCATGCCTGAGAATCAACGTGTCAGTCATATTCACGTGCAGCTCGTACGGTTTACCACCTACATTGTACAGCCTTTTCGCGGTAAAAGTTCATGCGCACTGAATCAGTAGCTAGATCGGAACTACTGGGTTGAGAAGCGTCCATTGCGGCTTGGAACCGAAAGCCGAGCGCGAACGCGGCATATAGCACGCCCAACCACATGGTGGGGGCTTCGAATGGCCGTATCCAGAGCTCGTTGTACTGTACTCTTATTAGTATTTCGTGAATATAAGTCGTCTTTTGTCTCACCCGCTTGAGAAAGGTTGGTTTGTGTATCAAGGCTAGAGGCGTTAGTTGGTGACTTATAAGCGGAGTAACGAGCTTACTCGGGTGTGTTTCCATTGATACGAAGAACGTATTCACGAAGCGATCTGCTTCTGATCGCGGAGGGAGAGCGGCGAGTAGTTCTTCTTTGGTCGCATGCGGATAACGTCCAAACAGCAGCTCTGGTCCCGGTACATCATCCAGTACTTCATCTCTAGGAATGGTTGACGTGGGGATTTGATCAAGGTGTTCGCGCAACTCTGAGATCTGGGATGGCGTTAGGGAAGTAAGAGTCACTGCTTGAGGATCACCTACACTATCAAGAATGCTTGTCCAATGACCCCCGTTAGTGTAACTTGTGGTGTCGCCGCTGATCCTCACGCGATCCGGAGTTCCAGGAAGTTCAGGGTTTGTTTGTTCGTCATGATGCTGCTCCTGTGCTGGACTAGACAGCACGGGATTAACAAGATCAGCTGCGTTGCCGCCGATAAGATTGGTGACAAGCTTCTCGAGTTGATCAATCCTGTCATGAACGCTGGTAGGGACTTTGGGTTCTCTTGGCGTCGGGGTGCTACGAACATATGTGCACGACAATGAGAGTCCGCGATCGACGCATGTCTTGCATGGTTGTTGCCGGTCACATTTCAACCTCCAGTGTATTAGCATGCGATTCCTTAGGGCAGGTAGGCCAAGTTTCGAAGCCGCTCACTTTCGTCGACGACAGAGGGTGCAGCTCAAGATAGGCTTGTCTCTTCGCCGGCTGGGAGGTACAACTCTCGACGTCTGGCCATCTGCGCTCATGTTTAGCAGTGATTCTGCGACAAGTCAAAACGGCTGCGTTGAGTAAGAGCTGCTCAAGTCTTGGTGTGGCTAAACACGCGTTCGGGGTTGACCGTCAATGTCGGCCATCAATGTTGCCCGATACCGAGGCTAACCGCTTCGGCCGAACGCCCCCCGCATTCGCTTGCAGCTACCTTGCACGATAATTCAAACTCTCTGGTACGGTCCCGACCCTCCACTCTCTATCTAGGTAATGCAAGGTTCCTGTGTCCTCCTCGCACAAAGGCTCGAGCTCTCCCACCGACTTGGCTATCGCTTACGCCCTCAGTCATGTCCTCATCATGTACACAGACAAATTACTCGGCCCAAAATTCCACTTCTAGATCAATTCGCCAGAAGTTGTGATGCAGACCAGCCGCCTAGTAACTACGTCGCGACTCGGTCACAACATGCAATAGGTCTATATGCTCAATAAAATTTGGGGGCACGTTCGGGAAAAAGAAGAGTAGACAGAGAGACCTGGATTCAATCGAGTTAATCATTCAGTGTTGTGGCGTGGAAAACATATTTTCAAGATCTCGAAGCCTTCCAACGACTCGGAGGTTGAACATGGATAGGTAATAGGAGAGAGGAGTCGCTCCAGCACGAACTTATCTGCGTGTGAGGAGGAGGACAGAAGGCTTGTAATCGAAGACTACTGTACCGTGATTCGTGGCTTAGGCCAACTCGACTATGGTAATGAGACAGACGTGTTCGTATGTGCTGTTGCACAAGTCGTCAGGAGCTGGAGAAGAGGCAAGGTAAGTTGATCTGTCTGCGTACTAACGTCGTGTCGATCAGTTGTCTCTCGAACGGAATACAGTGCAGTACCCGGAGAAGAAGCCAGACAGATTGCGGGCTTACATCTATTCGCTCTCTCCGGTCGAAAGACAGGTCGGACCGAGATCATGTTCCATGGTGTATTGGCCGCTGCAGCAATACACTCGGTGTTGTTTGACCAAGGAGAGTATCAAACTGTAGAGAGCAGAATATAGTAGGAATATGAGGTGCTGTGCTTAACACGCTGTTGATTTGCTAAAAAAGGCTAGCTCCACATGACGACACATAGAGCGCAGAATCTCCAGTTGTAAGGACTGACACAAGCCGTATGCATCAACACGACCACAACAGCTAGGGACACAAGGTACAGTGAGAATCACGCAGAAAAGTTTTGCACAGTCATTACCGATTGCACGTCGTTGTGATGTGACCCTTTCACCACCAGCTTCTCAGAATGCCATTCGACCAATGTTGAATCCGGCACTTGCGCGATTCTCCTTTAAGCACTTTATGACTCTGGAATGTAAGCTGCCTTCGGCATCAGTAATTAAGGTTCTTGTAAATTGTATGTTGGCCTTGTCGGGCGCTGAGAGCAGGATCAACGATGCGAACATTCCATATCCTACTGGACAGCCCTCGCAGTCTGTTCGGTGAATGGCTCCATTTCGGGAGTATCCATACAACAAACCGAAGACTATGCATCTGCATCCCGCATAAGATAACGTGGGTAGGCTAAGCGACATGCCACCTTGCATCGAGGCGACCGATCCTGGCACACTTGATCTTCCATTTAAACCCCGCGTAAGAGCTCGCAAACTACCCAACAGCCATACCATCTCCCAAACCCCATAATCGCCATCATGGCACTCATGTCTTTCCCAAGTCTTTTGGTGACTTTGGTCATGTTCAGCATACTGTATGCGTTCCGTTTGTACTCAAGAACAAGAGACGCACGACCCCTGCCCCCGGGACCGAAAGGCCTTCCATTCATCGGGAATATAAACGATATGCCTAAGCCCGGTGTGCTTGAGTGTCATCATTGGTCGCAGCTCAAGAAGACATATGGCCCTATTAGTTCCATCACCGTGCTAGGACAAACGTTCATCATCATCAACGACGCCGAAATTGCTGTCGAGCTGCTGCGCGACCGTTCAGCAATCTACTCCTCAAGACCAATGCAGACATTCAGTTGTGAGATGTAAGTGATAAGCCCGTATTAGGGTGTCTAGGTAAATGACTCAGCGTTTGCTGATCGAGCGATCAGGGTTGGTTGGCGACATGCGACCGCTATGGCTCCGAACGACGCGGAATGGAAACTTCAGCGTAAGAACATTACGAAGATAGTGAGCACAAACACGTCAGTATCAGTAGTTGATCGCGTTCAAGAGATGGAAGCCGCGCGTTTCTTGCTCAACCTTCTTGATTCACCCGACAAGCTTTTCGACCATATAAAAAAAGAGGCTGGCAGTGTCATCCTGAAGATCACGTACGGCTATACTACCATACCGAAAGGCAATGACCCCTTCGTCGATCTAGCTGGTAAGACCATGGAGCAGTTCGCTGATGCTACAGTTCCCGGAAGATGGTCTGTGGATATGTTCCCGTTCTGTGAGTATCACCCCTCGGCGGTGGAACCATTTCTGACCCTGAAAAGTGCGATACCTACCAGAGTGGCTACCAGGAATGGAGTTCAAGCGCACGGCCAGAGAGATGGCGACGCAGCTCCGACAGTGTACTAACCAGCCTTACGAATTCGTCAAGAAGCAAATGAGCGAGAAGAGACACTCGCCATCATTCTTATCGCAAGCAATCGAAGGCACATCCTTGGATGCCGAGATGGAGTTCATCCATAAATGGACGGCACTGACGCTGTACACAGGTGGCGCTGACACTGTAAGTGTCGCATACGAGCGAACTCGCTGAATGAACTTTACTCATTCTTTGCCAGACCGTTTCCGCAATAATGACATTTTTCCTTGCCATGAGCATCTTCCCGGGAGTTCAGAAGAAGGCTCAAGAAGAGTTAGATCGCGTCATTGGCGAAGAACGACTTCCCGGCAGTAAAGACCGGGAGAGCCTTCCTTACATCTACGCCTTGATGAAAGAGACGCATCGCTGGCACCTTGTCTTGCCTATGTGTCTTCCGCATTGCAGCACGGAAGAGGACACTTGCCGCGGATATCGCATTCCGAAGGGTTCCATCCTTCTGGCTAACAACTGGCTTTTCACCCATGACCCTGAGGTCTACCCCGACCCAATGGTCTTCAGACCGGAACGCTTTCTCGAAACACCAACCCACAAAAGTGAGCCTGATCCAAGAAACTTCATCTTCGGTTACGGCCGACGTATATGCCCGGGTCGATATGTTGCAGATAACGCCCTCTTCATCACTATCGCGCAAACTCTCGCTGTTTTCAATGTCACAAAGTCTGTTGACGAGAACGGTCGAATCGTGGAGCCAGAAATTAAGTTCGAGCCGGGTGCGATCAGTCATCCGGTGCCGTTCTGCTGTTCAATCAAGCCGCGATCGGATGCACACGAGCAGTTGATCAAGGCTTCGGAGCAACTATATCCATGGGAAGAGAGTGATTCCAAAGAGCTAGAAAGCATCAAGTGGTAGTAAAAAGACAGACGCCTTTTGGTAGTTCTTGACGAACACAATGGACTTCCTAGTCCTTCGTGTACTACTCGAATGTGGACGGCGTGATGCATGGGATAACAATCAGGTGTACCAGGACATCAGAGCGTCTCTGGTGCATAAGCTAGGACGTTCGCGATGTATATAGAGAATTTGCTAGCCATCATGAGCTTTGTAGTATGTACTACCTACCTGTTTATCGACCAGCCGGACCATCCTCATAATATAGCGTCAAATTCTTGGCTAATGTACGGATTTTATAACAGGTGCTTCCATACAAAACATGTCGGCAGTAGCAGTACATGGTCTTGACAAAGGCTCTTGTAGGTTGAGCAAAACCATAGCTGTTCTATAACCATTTCTCGAATGTGTGATGAACGCTGGTCTTCTCACAAGACTATATGCACGCATGTAGCGAATCTCTTTTCTGTGCTAGATATGTCTTGCTATTGTCTCTCCCGTCTCTTCGGCCGTGGGTTGACAAACTTGTCCTCGTAAACCTCTTGGTCCTCGGGCACCACACCGCTTTCCTGTAGTGCTTTCAACGCCTCTGGCCCCACTACCTTCTGGATTTGATGAATCCTCCACGCAGAAGGTTGGGCAGGTCTCAGCCATGTCAAGCGGCCCTCGATTTGCGTGTCGTGGTGATCGTTGACTGCTTTTTCCGCGCCCTCTTTGGTCCTGAAATCGATGAGGCATAGAAAACTCGGCTCATGTGTCTTTCCTCTGTCGAACCTCGACATTCCGCTGACTGACTCGATCCCGTATTTGCCGAATTGTCGCTCAATGATTGTCTCTGCGTTCTGTACCGCCACGGCAAAGCGTTTGTTTGTGGACCATCCGGGTGTCTCGACCGAAAGTACAATGCGGCGACGTTCAAGTAACGGACGCATAGCATCATATGCAGCGGTGCCTTCGTCAATGAAGTAGCGAGAGCCAAAAGGCCCGCCCTTCCGCTGCTCACTTTTCTCCCAGCTGAAGTCAGCGTTCAAGGGCTTAACAACCAGTGATTTGCCCTGTGCCTCGAAGCCGTTAAGCTCCTTAATGGCCTTGGTAGCTTCTGCTTCACTACCAAGCTCGACGAAACATGTGATAGCGTTCATAAAAGTGAAGCGATCAACACGCATCAGTAATCTCTTGCTAATTGGCCGTTAGCTCAAAATTCATACGACGAGATGTATAGCGTAGATGCTTCGTGACACATACATGGTGCATCCCTTAGAACGTAGTATCTGTTCAATGTCCGTTTTTGCCCATCGTTTTGGCACTGTCATCATGACAGCTTCTGATGAAGAGCCCGCGGACGTTGACGGAGCGCGTGCATCAGTAAGTGCGATCTCTGGCCCTCTCGATGGAGTCTGAACAATGTCTTCCCGGCTGCGTTGATTGGCAGTGAAACCTCGCTTTGAAATTGATGTTCTGATCGATGGGATAAGTGATGGAGCGACGCGTATTGACGGTGTCGCCAGGGGAAAGGAACAGCGCCCGCGCGATAGTAACCTTGGTACAGCCATCGTGCAACACAACAAATCCTAGTCTGACAGTTTGTATATTCGGAGTTGATGACAGCAAGTAGTGTTGATTCGAGGTCGCCGCTCGTAACGATCGCACTAAACAGAAAAAGATCCTTGGCGTGTCCCATTCTTATCGATAAGACGGCAACGGGCCACTAGCCCAGGAACACCACTGTCCACGAGTGCGTAGAATTGTCTCTAGATCTTCCTAACGAGGCCTGATTTGTGTAGCAACGGCCATTGGCTTGTACATTGGGAAAACTTGGATTACTCTATGGCTTTGACTTTCTTTCTCACGGTCTATCACAATCCTCACGGCCCGCAACATCAGCAATGGCCTACGATCGGGATGTGGTAGTTTGTTGTTTCAAGCGACATTACGAGCTCTTAGTGAGATCAGCCTACTTCGATTCCGCAGAGATCCGGTACCCTCCAGATGAAGGCTGGAGCGATGAGCAGCTTGCTGTTGACATCATGCGTGCTTTCGGCCGCTCAGAGGAAGTAATCGATCTCCTCCGGCATCTACCTTACATCAAACAGCTCGACGGTGACAGCAAAGACGAAGTATACTTCCAAACCCGACATCTTAGCTATCTACGCGATACCTGGCCGTTCAAATCCTTGACTGTTGAAAAATGCCAAGGGAAACAGCTATTTGACAAACTGTTGATGCCGAGTCCTGAAGACTGGCCAGCTGGTTTCATTGCCTTGACGCAAGACATATATGCAACATGGTGGATAATGGATACTACGAAAGGTTTGGCAATATGACCTATACACGTAGACCACCAGAGGACTAACATTCATGCCAGGCATCTTACATGCAGTGGGTACAGGTTATGTAGAGCCACCAAAGGATGAGCCTTGGCTTTTGGGGTCTGTTCCACATGACATTCGAGAATATTTTGACGAAATCTACAAGGAAATTGAAGGATTGACAATGGTTCCTTGTCCGAAGGGGAACAACTCCTGGAACAGGACAGTACAGCCGTACACATGGGAGATCGGAAGTGTATGTTTTGTCTTGTTGAGATTGATGATGCTTTACTGATGTTTACAAATCAGGTTGTGAGTCAAACGTTACGGAAGCATGGCTGGCCCGATCGTCTGGATCGAGACGGGTATCTCGAGGAGCTCGAGCGGGTACGTCCAGAGGGTTGATTTGGACCGGAGGTATACCATTTCGAAAAGATACTCCACTCTCCAGGTACGAGCAAGCACCCATAATGTCCAAAAACTGAGAAATATGCTTAAGCTTCTGGAGCAATGTTGATGAACAACATCATTGGCGTTAAGTGCAGGCTCCCACGCCGAATATCAAGTTATACCTAGCTCAACAAGTGCTCTTATCTCCAATACCAATGTCAGTGAGTACTGCGACCAAGTGCTATTGCTATGAAACTATGCTCTAGCCCTAAACTGTAGGATTGGTCCGTCCTTCTTGCTTGCGAATACGTCCATGATCTGATATTCAGATGCCCTGGTCCTTCCGACTTCCAAATCTTTGCTTCCAGCACCCAACGTTGTGCCCGGTGCTAGTCTCAAATCATACAAGAAAAGCACTCTTGCGATCGTCACCGTCAGCTCAACATACGCTAGACCCTTGCCAATGCATCCACGGGGACCGATGCTGAAGGGATTGTATGCTGACTGCGCTGCCTGAAGGCTGCTGTGAAGCGGGTTTGCGGAAGGATCAGAAAGCCACCGCTCTGGGATGAAATCGAAAGGTTGAGGGAAGTAATCGGCGTTGTGATGGATCGTGTAGATAGGAACGCCCACGTCGACGCCGGCGGGGATATGATGACCATCAATGTCCATACCACCCGAGAGCACTTCTCGTGGGAGAGCACCAGCGACAGGGGGTGTCATACGCATGGTCTCGTCAATGCAGGCGCGCAGAAATGAGCAGCCGCTGAGCTTGGGTCCAGTCACGATCTCTTCAACATCAGCAAAAGCTTCCCGAATTTCTTTGCAGACCTTTTGCATCGCTGAAGGGTTGTGTGCGAGGTAGAAGAAGGCACCAGACATTGCTGTCGAGGTCGTATCGGAACCCGCGATGATCAGCAGATTTGACTCGCCCCAAAGCTCATCCATGCTGAAGCCCTTGCCGGTTTCCGGATCCTTCGCGTTAAGAAGGTAGTAGAAGAAGTCTTTACGGTCGACATCTACGCCCAACTTCGTGCGCTCCATGGCTTGGCCCTTGCTGTACTGCATGTACTGCGCTCGTTGGCCTGCAATTTTACGGAAGAAGAGCTTGTCCAAATGCCAGTTGTGGATGGTAAGGTGCGTTCCACAGATGAGATGCCTGTGTGCCGCGTTACCAACCAGCTGTGTCGCAAACCGATTGACAGGGCTTTCCAACATGCCGAAAGCTTTGCCAAATACCAAATCACCCATGATGTCGAAAACTAACCACTCGCACCAATGTGCAGCATTCCACGCGTCGTTCCAGCCACCATCTTTCTCGTCGGCTAAGCCCTTCTCAGCGGACCAGTTGTTGCTCTTGCGTCCAAGCAGTTCGCAACCGACACGTACGTTGGCCAGGATGTATTTCTCTAAGCTCTTGATCGCGGAGTCACTGAATGCATGGCTCATGACTCGCCTCTTGCGCGCATGCTGCATTTTGTCGACTGCGCTATGTACGCTAACGGCCTTTGGTGTGCTGGGAAATGCATGGTAGAAAGATGCCTTCTTGACATTTGATCGGAATCCATAGATAGTCTTGAGACCAGTGGCGGTGTTGACGGAAAGCAGATTAGGTCCAAGGCGCACGTAAGGTCCGTATTGCTCGTGTGCGCGGTGGAAAGCAAGGTGCCGGGAACCTTTGTAGGCATAGTATGCTAGATAAATGTCGGTGATCTTTGCAAGGAAGGGTCCTGGGTAGGAGGCGAGGGGATGGAAGGTCAGGCGGTAGACGATGACCCCGAATATCTGGGTGTAATGTTAGTTGAGAGTGAAGCGGATACGCGGAGCAACGTACGTAGAGAAGCAGCACTCCAAAGATGGAAGCCAGCAGGGATAAAATTGCCATATTGGCGATGACTTTGAGCAAGCTGAGTATGCGATGTTATTGATTTGCACCAAAGCTCATTGCCACAAATATTCCCTTGATGGACAACTTGTGTACAACGCTTGACTATCCGCTACAAAGTTGTGCAGATAAGCTCCCTAAGTACTCATTTGCCTTCCACCACCATCCGCAGCTCCCCCAATACCCTCCCTGTTCCCAATCCATCGCGATGACAAAGTGCATCAGCATTGTGGAGTAGTCTCGTGCCCTTTTCATCGCATAATCGGCGAGCGGGTGTCTTGGGTATACGTTCCGGTGTGTCACGGCTAACGTCGGATAGTCGTGCAAATTACACCACTCCAATCACGTGGGACGGATACCTCAGCAAGCGAGGACGCTAACGCGGATACTGGTGCTGTCCCTACTTTTCGCGGCCAGGAAGGGCGCGGATATCCTGCGCGTAAGCATGGGAGGTATAGAGATCGAGCTAGAGTGTGTGGTCAAGACTCATTTCGCATTAGGCGTAGCTATAGATGCATATGCAGGTGCAAGGTTTACAAAGAGTGACTATAGTTGATGAGTTGCGGAATCAAGCATTAAACATGTCACCTAGATATGCTAAGATCATGCTCATTACAAGTACAACCGATTCTTTCGCAACGGCGCTGTATTTGTCGTATCACTGAAGGCGATCCTCCCCACTGCACCCTCAGGCCTTATATCTTGGATCTTGACCCATTTGTCTCTCAAGAGCCTCGAACGTTCAGCGCCATCGATACTGCTCGCAGGTGTTTGTACACCGATGTACGGCGAGTCTCTAGTCAGCACCCAGATGTTGCCTAAGAAATCTGATATGTGCATCAAGCAACGCAGAAGAATGTTGGCCGCAGCGCTAATGGTAAGGAAGATCGCCGATGTAAACTATAGAAGGAACCACGACTTTTTGACGTAGTATGCTGGGGAAGTGAATGTAGTCCAGGGGCCGGTAGTCTTTGCCCAGAAACTGTCATGATTTTCCAGGGATGCGACATCACTCCCAACCATGCATACGAAGTTGAAATTTGCGCATAGATACGTATTCAAAACCATACCTAGCCAGGCGGTCAGAGAAGATATGAAGCGGAAGGTCTTCGTACCACCAATCTAGCGAATTCCGAATCAAGGATTGGAAGGCTAAGGAGGAATCTTTGAACCATTGTTCGAGAAAACTAGATTCCTACGGGTGCAAACTGGCCATCGTAAACGTCATGTATCGGAGGATTTGGTACATCCTGTCAACGTCAAGCGCTGTGAGATTTGGTCTATTCTCATGGTTACGACGCATTTTGATCGTGTGGCAAGCTGAACGAGGAATCCACATGCGCCAACATATGGGCACGTCACAAGAGATGACTGAAAAGCTGCTCATGTTCGAGAGTTGTAGCGCAAGAGTATGAGCATACTGCGGTGCTGTGTAGACGACTTTCGAGTGGTGAATGGTCGACGAATGAGAAGGCACGAGTATCAAAGCGGATAGCGCCGTCTTGGCAGACATCGAGCTTCACGAACATCACCAAGCGTCACTATAGTTTGTCCAAACGCGCAACAGCACGACACCTGCCCATTGACCTATTTCGACCCTTGCAGCCTGCCTGGAAGGACGCGCTCTCGAGATGTCGGTGGCCAAGAATGTGAAGACTACGGTCTTTTCGGTACGGCGCCCATGACCCGATCTCGACGTGCCTTTGCCCTGCCGCCCCTCTCCCGCCATCCACCGCTTCGGGAGGAAGTACTAATCGTATGTATACAGAAATACACCGTTCAGCCCACTGGAATCTATGCCGCCATCAACAGGCTCTTCGCGCTCGACCCCAAGCGGTCCACGGGTATCCCCATGAACCCGCAATTCCGCAACCCACCCCCAGGCGGTCTCGACCCCAACGCGTACGACGACCCTGTTACTGTTCCTGCTGCCGACATCGCCGAGAACCCATACTGGAAGCGCGACGTGCGACGACGATACCCCAGGCTCTCGACTGTCACGCAGTCTGACGCAGTTGCGCTGCTGGAAGTTGGAAGCGCGGCAGCACCCAAGCAGGAGCTGATTGGCGAGGCAGGCACAAAATCGCTGGTAGCTGCGCAAGAGGAAGGTGCCAAGGGACTGGCCGTTGCATTTGAGAAGAACACCGGACTCGCAAAGGATGTACTAGGTCCTGGTGGCATGCCTCCACTACCAAGCGGGCTGCACGTCCACGGTGTTGCTGGACAGAAGCGATACGAGCTGGAGAGCGAGCAGTCGTACGGCACAGCGTAAGTTTTCCGGAAATGGGTTGTCCATGAGCAGTGCTGACTTAGAACAGATACCCATGCCGGACGTTCGCTTAAATTACCAGAGGAACTGTGTAGGTAGTAAAGGCAGTCCAATTTCTGTACATATGAAGACTTCACCTGCATATGGCTTGTGTAGTCACCTGTGATCTTTGTTTTGGTTTCCATCACAAATGCGTGTGAATGCCTGATTCTTGTCTCTCTCTCTCTTGTCATTTGTACGCCTTGTCAGTTCATTCGACACGTGCACTTTACCGCTCTCTTGAGTCTTTCACTTCGCCCAGAACCGCAAGCACGATCTGATTTGTTTGTCTTGGCGTTGTTGACAGCGACTTCCTCGCCCTCACTCCTGCATCTTGACTGCACCTCGCTGTCACATCCCGCGCCACTTCTTTCGCTGCTGCACATATCATCGCAACCAAAACCATGAGCACCGTCTCTGAGAAGGTATCATCGGAGCTGGGTGCTGCTCCCCTCAACTTCATCTACGCCTGCTCCGTATGTTGCGCTTCCTTCGCCGATGTATACGAAGGTCACAAGGAGACCGTTCATGGTCTGTCAGATGGAATCAACCCTAAAGAACGCCTTGTGACACGGCTCTATCTCGCCAGTTGCTGCCATGTCTTCTGCAGCAGTCACCTGGAGGGTGGCGGTAAGTCGCGCGCAACCCAATATGAGGAAGCTGCTGACGCTCGCGATAGGACCACCCTTCCATGCTGCTGGACAGCGACCTAAAGCAAAATGCCCCGTTTGTGTCAAGGAGAAAGGCGGGAGCGAGCCTCAGGATCTCTTCTCGATCCGCGGCTTCAACAAGGACGAGTACGATTCTCAGATCCCGCCTGCATGGTTTACTGCGCCTCCCATCCGGCTCGATGGTAGCGGCAAAGAAATGGAAGCACTGCGCGTATGTCGCCCTGCCTGTATAGTCTCTGCTTCTAGCTAAGAATGACTAGTTTCAATATATTGCGCTTATTCGGTACTGCCAGAACGCCCATGCTACCCGCAAGCCCCTCCAGCAGGCCTATACAGAAACGGAGCAGAAACTGGCTAATACGCAGGAACTCTTTTCGAAGGAGCGCGAAAAAGCCCTCAGTCTCCAGCAGGAGAACGAGCGACTACGGTTGCAGAAGGATCAGTTCGGAGCCATGAAAGCTGAAGTCCGACGACTACAAGGCCTTGAAAAAGAAATTGCGCATCTCCGTGATGTTAATCCAAAAGACCTAGAGACCTTTCTGGCCAACAAGTCAGCAATCCGCCACTACTTGAAGCTTGTTCCTATGCTAGTCGAGTAGGCTGATCATGCCGTGCATAAGAGAAGATCGCTAACTGGTCTAGTCAAAACGGAAGGATGCAGGAGCGTCTTCGCCAACTCGGCTTTGCAATGGCACTAGAACCTATACCCAACTTTGAAGGAATCGATCCTCACGCATTTGATAGCGACGAGGCTCTGCCTGAAGACATCGGGCACCCCGGTGCCAAGCTGCGAACGACAGCATCAAGCCATACTGTGGGCAGGTCGGCGCATACAACAGGAAGAATGGGAACAGCATCCTCAGGCTCATTTATCCAGCGGCCTATGAAGCGACAACGCCTCGATTCGCCCCTTCCTAACAACACGCAAGTCGATCCTCCTTCAAGTCGTGATGCCATGCCACCTCCACCAAAGCCGATGTCTAGGATGCAGTCCATGCGCAAAATGCTTCCAGGTTTCCGAAAAAAGTCTTCAATCGATCGCTCAAATGACATCGCGGGCGATGTTTTCGAAGACAATAACGACGTTCAGATGTACGACAACGGATATTGGCGAGACACTGGAGCTGATCGACGCCCTGGACACGACGATTTCCGCAGCGAGACGCCCTATATGTCAGGAGCACTTCCTGTAGAACAGTCATTCCATGTCTCTGATCCCCGAGAGTCACAACTCCTTCCTAGTATGGGCTTCTATGACAACCGATCAGACTTTACGTTCCGGGCCTCTTCTCCGGTCAAATTGGACAAGCAAGGCAATAGTGATCGTCCTGTCGATTTACCTACCGAGCGTTCATACATTCGGCTGATGGATGGGTTGTCAAGCGACAGTGGAGTAGAGCTAGGCTTGAAGGATCCTCGCAAGCAACCGAACACAATTGACCGTGCGAATGGCGAGAACAGGCAAGTGTTGCATGGTTTTCTGAACGAGGACAATCCACAAGGTGTTGATTACGAAAAGCGTTGGGATCTTGGACATCCGTTCATGCACCAATCGCCATTCAGATCTTCCACCTCTACCGATGTTCACGGTTATCTTCCTAGCCACCACCAGACTAACGGATTTACGAACAGAGTGCACAACGTCTCGGATATTAGTCCCGCCACACCGGCACCTAGATGGCAACAACATCGTGGTCACAAAATCGAGAGTGTAGTAAGTCCCTATTTCCGGAACGGTCTTGACCAGGCCCAAATTATCTCGTCACCCAGCCGCGCTGAACCTCAGGATAGTTCAAATCGTTCCGGCGGCTATCAGTCACAAAAGCCAAGGACGAACCATCACAAGATCGGCTGGGTTGAGCCTCGCAGTCTCAACGCACTTTCATTCTTCGATTCACCGGTTGATTCTAGAAATGAGCCTATCGAAGTGGACCACCGGCGCAAGTTGGTAGGATTAGTACCGACGCCTTTAGCACAGCAGTATCAGAGATGCCGTCTTGATTCGCGTGGCTCCATTACGCCACAGGAATCGAGACGTTTATCACACACCAACGACACCGCCTATGACTTTTCCAATGATCGGACATTTTACAATACAAAAGCGCCTATACATACGCAAGCTGCGATCAATGTAGCGTCTGCGAATCGTCTCTCACATTCCCGCATCGGTAAAGTGCCCTCTGCTATGCCTTCGATCATTGCAAGCCGCCCATTCGCTCGTACGCAACCTCAATGGGAGAACCTGCAACGAGCAGGTGTGAGGAGTAGCCGCAACGCTTCGGACAGTGCTGCTAGAGGTAATCATGCGGTGCCATCGAGGGATGTCTTCCCTAGCGCTAGTCGGCGTAGCGTTAGACGTTGAGGGAAGTACAGAACTTTATTGTGCCTCAGCGTCTACGTTGAGTTACGCGGTTCATAGCCTTGAAGAAAACTCTTCCCATGTCGGGATCCAATGTATGCATCATCAGGAAACCAACCCATAGGGTCTTCAATATTGCAAATCATAATATGCCTATCTGTGTACTCGCGTCGCGATAGATGTTCCGGGTTCGATTTACCTCAAGCTTGTATCTAGATTCCCGTGCTGACGGCTTTTGAACACCACGACCGCAGCATGCGACATGGAGATTCGCACCACATTCCACAGATCTTCCCGTGCGATGATCGGAAACCTCTTACCGTGAACGGATTTGTTAATTCGCATCACGTTCAATCAAGAGTTTGCCCTGCGATGCTTAGCATGCTCGAGCGTTGCCCTTCTCGACACGGAGCTTGTGTGCTCACCTCACATGTAGGTAGACTATAGGGAGATGAGAAACTAGCGCGAATATGGTAAGGACCAAGGAGAATTAATATGCGACGAATATGCAACGAAGCTTCCTCGGCATGCAAGGGCCGTTGCCGGCCGCCCATGACGTCTTCATTGGCGGACTATCATGCGCAATTCGACGTTTCATACACACAACTGAAATCTCCTTGTCGACGTTGAAGATCTGAACAGCTGGCGCGATGTTTCAACTCGACGGATTTCCTTTGTTTCCGGTCTCCCCACGAATGGTGACCCCTGCATCCCCGCAAAAGCCACTGCGCATGACCCACGTTCCTGGTCATTCAAGCTTCCTTTAATATACCTAAGCAATTTATCCCGCACCACGGCTCCCAGGCTTCAGAACCATGATGCCACATTCGGCCTTTTCATATTGGCATCAGATGAAGACCCGCTCATTGCCGTGGGAGGAACGGAGGGGATGGCCCGTTCAGCTGTGGGGCGTTTAGTTATTGCAATGCGAACTATATACGGTATAAGAACGATGCTTGCTCAGTACGTGAATTGTAGGATCATACGAGCATACTCCAACTCTCCACACCATGCTTTTCAACAGTCTTTTGGCGGCTGCCGCTTTGGCCAGCACCGCTTTCGCGGCCCCAGCTGAGGAACGCCAAACCTCCGCGCGCAAGATGAAGTGGTTTGGTATCAATGAGTCTGGTGCGGAGTTTGGTGAGAAGAACTTCACAGGTGTTTACGGAAAGGAGTACACATGGTACGATCTGAACACAATCGACAAGTTCATGGCAGAAGGGATGAACATGTTCCGTTTGAACTTCCGTAAGCTATCCTATCTTGATACCCAATATCACAATCGTTCCAAAATGTGAGACTAACAACATCCAGTAATGGAGCGCCTAACTCCCAACTCCCTCACGGCCGAGTTTGACCCTCTCTACCTAGGCAACCTGACCCAACAAGTAAACCATATCACCTCAAAAGGCTCCTACGCCATGATCCAACCGCACAACTACGGTCGCTTTCTCGGCAACATCATCACCGACACAGCCGCCTTCAAGACATGGTGGACAAACGTCGCCGCAGAATACAAAGACAACGAACTCGTCGTCTTCGACACAAACAACGAAGTAAGTTGTGCCTACACGAACTGCATGTGAAACATACACTGACTTCGTATTTTCAAATCTGCAGTACCACGACATGGACCAGCAGCTCGTCTTCGATCTCAACCAAGCTGCCATCGATGGTGTACGTGCCGCCGGTGCAACCAAACAATACATTACCCCTGAGGGAAACAGCTGGACTGGTGCATGGACATGGATTAGCTCTGGCAACGGTGCTAGTCTGGTCAACTTGAAGGACCCGCAGAACAAGCTTGTTTACCAAATGCACCAGTACCTCGATACCGATGGGTCTGGTACCTCTGCCAACTGCGTCAGCGCTACGATTTTCAAGGAGAGGCTTCAGGCGGCGACGAAATGGCTCAAGGATAACAAGAAGCAAGGTCTTATCGGCGAGTTTGCGGGTGGCAATAATGCGCAGTGTATTTCTGCGCTGCAGGATGGACTGAAGTACATGGGTGCTAACAGTGATGTTTGGCTTGGAGGTATTTGGTGGGCTGCTGGTCCATGGTGGGGTGATTACATTTACAACATGGAGCCCACCACTGGTGTGGCTTGGACGGGGATTTTGCCGAAGATCAAGAGCTACTTCTTGTAGATGAGATGACTGAAGAGGTTGAACCTTGAAGCGCTGTATGTACTTGAGCTTCGTTTCTTGTAAATATTCTTATACAAAAACATTCCTCATCCTCCACTCTTGCAGATGCTCAGCCTACGGCTTACCTTCCCAAGCTTTGGTCAGATACTCCTCCGCGCCCATGAACTTGTAGTCTGGGAACCGCTGATTGAACTCGTCACTAACAACCCAGCCACCACTGCTAATCGCCTCAAAGAACATGAGGACAAACTGCTTGCTAAACGCCTCTCTCACATCATCTCCAACCGTGGGATGACTAATTAGCGGCAGCCAGCTTGCCTTCAACTCTCCCTTGGCAATATCCTCACTCTTCACGTACTCGACCTTCCAGTCTCCTCCCCTAATCTTCTTGCCCAGAGCGAGCAGGTCGTTGATGGTAGTGCGATAGCCTGTGATACCACCGACCTTGGGCCACGGACGCGTGTCATCGAGGGCGCGAGCGAGGATCTCAGCATCGTCTTGAATGGCAGTAATGACAAGGGGTTGGTTTCCGTCATCAAGAACCATAGCACGTCGGTTTTCGAAGTCGAGGAAGAAGGGCCAGGTGATGAGATCGCGTTCGAGCGGGTATGGATGCGCAAAGTAGTCCATGAAGATGGATGGCTGGAAGAGACAGTATTGCATGGATCCCAGTTCACCTTTGCTGTCAAGTTCTTCGAGATACTTTCTGATGAAGTCTTTGTTCTCGTAACTTGGGACGCCGCTGTAGTTTGCGATACCCCACTCGCTAGGTGCAAAGCGTGAGACGCCTGCCGCAATTGATGCATGGATTAGGTTCTTCTGGGCTACGTTGTCTACGTCTAAGTGGACAACGAAGAAAGATAGGACCGTATGGAAGCCCGCGAGAGCACTAGTGAGGGCATCGCGATCCGTGTAGTCTACTTGCTTGTAGGTGACCTTGGAAGATGGGTGAGGTTTTGTTGGGGCGGAGCGAGTGAAGATGGTGATGTCGTGATTGCCGGACGCGATTACATTTTTGAGGAAATTAGTTGCGACGTCTATGGGATGTATCAGTAGAGGATAGGAGAGTTTGATTTAGAGCTAAGGACAGCTTTCATATGGTACTGATATCAAGGTGGGGTAGGTATGAATGGAAAGAAGAGGGAAACATACTTCCAGTGCCACCTGCTACCGCGATTTTGACCATGATGGCTCACTCTTTGCAAAATTGTATACAATTGACTTTGACGCGAATGAGTCAGCTGTAGAGAGTTCAGGCGTTGAGCTTCTTTCTTTGTATCGTCGCATCCATGGATCCGCTTTTGGTCCGCAGTTTTAGGCGTGTCTTCGGCAGATGACGGCATCGGTCATGACTCGTGCCACAAACCTCCAACTTTCGAAGCCATAATGGCGATTGTTGACACCCTCAATGCTTGTTTAGTCGGCGACTGCCTCAATCCAAGGTAGATGTGTGATAAGCTGCCCCTTGGTATAGCGGAGTTGTACGGAGTTTGGCGGGGATAAGCAGTTTGCACCAGTTGCAGACAGGGCGTAATATTGCAAGGCTTGATGTTTAGCTGATGATTGTCAATCAAGAAATTTCAATGGTGCGCATAGCAAGAGTTCCTGAAACGTCTTTGTAGGATGCTGCGAGGCAGATTGTTCATAGTTCAGCTGATTCGACCTTTCTCGGCAGCCTTTGAGCAAATGAGGTGGAAGAGGCGAGTGAAAGACGAACATGGCAAATTGCGTGACGGAAAGATATCCGGTAGGAAGGAGCTAAGAAATGCCAACCGAATGTCAAGCCCTCAAGCATCGATCAATGGAACCTCTGGTAAAGGTTTCTCGGGTAGCGGTTTGCTTGGCAGCGGCTTCAACGCATCCGTATACGCCGGTGGTCTCGAGGAGCTGCCTTCCTCCGGGTCGTCTCTATACGCGCCATGTGCATCCAGAAGAGCGCCCTCTTCTTCAGCCACCCTCTCCCTCCTCATGTTCTCCCAGACATCCTCCATGCCATCCCACTTCATGAGCTCACGCTGCGCGACGATCCACCAGTAAAGCTTCCAGAAAAGGAACAGGGCAAGCAAACCGCCAATAACACTGCTGGAGATGATCCAGAACAAAGGCCAGTCCCTCCAGTGGACAAACTCGCCGAACATGTCGCGAAGAGTTCCTTTCTTGCCGTAGTAGCCCCATTCTTCTTTGCGATAGAGAAAGCGACTACCCTCTATGTCCCAGACGTCGGTTCCAAGGAAGTGCCCTATCCTACCCCAGATGGTCAAGGGCTTCTTGGCGGGAAAGGTGTAGGCTCGGGCGACCAAGCGCATGTCAACAATTTGATACTCATAGATGTTGTCGTCGGTAATGGCCTGCCCGAAAGGGTCTGCGACCTTGGTTGGTCCTCCTTTGCCACCTCTCTTCAGTAGGGTTCCCTTGATGAGCATCCATAGCATTTTCTGATCCGGACTGTCAAACTTCCAAAGCGGGCCGCTGTCCTCAGAGTATCGTGATTTTCCAATCACATCCAACGCAACGTCCCAGTACTCGGCGTCTGTGTCGTCGCCTCCATGGCTATCGCTCGGGTTCGCAACGTATAGGTAATCGAATGCTATGCGCCAGGAGGACGTCAAGGGTACTGTGCGGCACCATTCTCCAGATCTGCCATTCCCGTTCTTCAGACAATATGGGTCTTCCGACTTCAGGCCAGCGTACAGTTCTGCATGTGAGAGGTTGGAGCGGTATCGCGTGACGTCGAAGGCAGGGGGTGTGGGTATCGTAGGCAAGGGATGTAGCGGGCGATTGTTGAGGAGGACTGTGCGGTTATCGTGGGTGAGGGTTACGTTGAGGAGCTGTAGCGCGCGGTGGTTAGCATGGCCTTAGACACATTTGCGGTTAGGCCTCTTGCTTATACATACAAGTACATGATCACGGTTTACAACTTCGTCGTCTTTGTCGGTATAAGGGCAGTCCTTGCACTCTATCTTCGCAATGTAGGACGATCCGGGTACCACTGCTGCAACGGGTGCGATGGGCGCCTCACACTCTTTGGGCGCTTCCCAGTATCTGTCGAGGCTGCAGTCGAGCACCTTGGGGATGTCTGCAGCGCAGGCCGATGCAACGAGGCCGGCAAGCAGCGAGACGCCGGACAGCAGCATGGTGGGCTGGCTCGTGGTAGAATGACCGAAGGCACCTGCCTGGCGATCCGCTCCTCGCCGCTGTCAGGGGCGTAGCGTGCCACAGCGGCAGGGATATGGCGCGACTAGCCGGCGATCAAGAAGCAAGAACGATGGTTCCCCCACCAAGCTTCTGATCTATTTCGAGCTCGTGGTCGATAAAGACCCTGCACGAGGCGTAGAAAAGCAATATCGGAGGTTGCAGCAATTATTTTAGCTTGCCCTTCAACAAAATCCATCGACATGCAACACCTAGGTTCACCGACCATTCGCAGAATTCCTCTCTCAGGCAACCCTCATGCGATAGATATTGGAGAATCGATTCACACTTGATAGGCCACTGAGGTTGTCTCCACGACGTGCTTCACGTTGAGCAGATCGATCGATGCGAGAGCGAGAATAACAATAGTTGGCCATGTTATACTGGACATTGGGGTGTTAGAGTGTCGCGCGGCTCGAGCCTGCAATGCACTTATATCTACATCTCTCGTTTCAACATTTGCGATGCGACTTGGTGTTATTAATCTGATTGCACAATCTCAGGTGACCTAATCGACTTTGAAGCTTGACAATACAGAAGTAGTAGGAACTCAATGTGAGTCTGCCGCTTGATGGCATGGCAGAGTCAGGGGCGCGCATTGTCTCTAACACCAGATTTCATGCATTCCAGAGTTAGCAGCATTCTAGTTCCCAAGTTCATGTATTTTGTCCGCTGTTCAGCGTTCTACTTCCTGAGATTGTTGGAATGCTTTCGCGTTTGAGGATTCTGCGGAGCGCTGGACCCTATGATGTCATACTATGAGATCACAACGCGTAACACGCGCCAGACTTTAATAACCTACACCCTCGAACTCTTGACTCTCAAACTTACCAACCTGTACTACATACAGTCACAAAAACCCGTGTTACCACAGCCAGATCACTGCCATCTGAACAACCGCCGTCATGTCCAGCTCAACCTTCCAATCATTTTCCACATCCTCGTCCAGCACAACCATCAACGGCCAAACAACCTCGAAATCCGAACAAACCTACACGGACCCCAGTGGTACCCGCACTCAGCGCACACATCAGGCACCAGGTGAAGCGCCTCGTGTCGAGCGATTTGAAACAGATGCTGCAGGCAGACAGCTAGAGGACCCTAGACAGGCGGATGCGAAGCGGATACAGGATGTGACAGAGGAGGAGGATGCCAAGACAAAAGGGAGGCAGTATGAGGAGAGGATGGAGGACGAGTATGCTAAGAGGGAGGGTGGTGCTTGAGTCACGTGCAATGTCAGTTGTCTGTAAGAAGACACGGCATTATGATGGTATTGTCAACCTACAAGCTAATACAGAGCGCCTCTTACTACTTACAAATACGAACAACTTCCAGCTTTAAAGGACTTATTTGTTTGCTAAAAGAGATATCGTCATCCTTGTGATTCTTACTCAATGGCAAGCTGTCATAGCTATACAGATCTACTGATTAGAACCCTTTCCCTCCTATTTTCCATCTCTCCACGAACACGGTGCAGCTTTCATACAAGTTTAGATACCATTGAATAGCTCTCGTGTTGTTAGCTACATGGTTACTGCCAGCTAACCTCGCAGCGACGCCCACTGTCCAGGATACACTCAACTTGTCTGCAACAAAAGATCACCACGCTCTTGATGCCTCCAGGAGATTACATCAAGTCGCAGCAAAGTTTTATAAACATCACAAAACATCAATGAGGTAAACAGCATAGCAGGTGAGATGCGAACGCAGTAGCGCAGACAAGCGCGAAGAGTTCAATTGTCGTTATCTATGCGCCGAAGCGCCGATTCCAGTCCCTAAACCCATACCCAAACCCAAAACCCGTCACAATCCAACCTGAAACTGGACCGAAGAGAACACCAAGCCAAGGAACCAACGAAAAGGCCCACCGCCGGACGTATCGTCATCCTCACCGTCCGTGGTGATCCAGCCAGAACTCGAAGCGGGCCTGGGATAGGCCGTTGAGAAATCTCGCCAGCTCAGCGCCAGACAGGACGTATAACTGCTCGTACGTGAACACGGGGTCTGCTGGCGGACCAGGAGGACCAGGACCGGGTGGTGGCGGTGGTGGCGGCGGCAGCAGCGAACGAAGCCCACCTGATGGTGGTAGAGGAGGGTGAGGAGGCGGCTCGATAGGCCCGTGTGCGTTGACGGTGGAGAAAGGTCGCTCCATGGCGAATGGTCTTGGTGCCGGTGGTGGTGCCGGTATTTTGTGGTTGTTGTGGTTGTTGTGGTTGTTTTGCTGCTTTGCAGCAGGAGGAGAAGAGGATGAGGAAGGATTTGTGATAATGTATCAAATCTTCTTGTCAGGGGCAATGAGAGTGAGGTTGCCAAAGAGTTCAAGACGTATACAAAAGTCGATTGTTTATATAGTCCACAAACTCGTGGTCCCAGCGCCTTGCAGAATCCATGCCAAGACGTGAGTGACGGTGACCTGTACTGAACGACCACCGCTTGGTAGAACCCAAAGAGATGATATCAGTGCTCAGTGCCCTTCAAATGCCCAGCTCGTTTACTCACAAACTTCTCTGGAGTGTGCAGCACCCCAATTGACTTCGCGAGTCGCTGTGGTGACGATATGGGTAAACAGCTTTTTCCGGGGTTCTGCCGGCAACTTGCGACTTCTAATACCATATGGGCGAACAGAGTGTGGTTAGAGGGATCACGAAAATTTTTGGTGTCCATGGCGCAGCATATTGGGTATATATACTGATCAGTCCTCCTTATGATATCCTTCACTGACATCAGAGTTAGCAAGCTTTTAGCCCCCAAGCCATCTGCCCCTGCAGCGCCTAGTCCCAAGCCTCCCAGTATACTGCCCATGTTCAGACAAAGCCAATATACGAAAGCGACCACAGGTATGAACAAAGGGGTTGGAAAGACAAGGGATAAGACAGGAGAATACGTCGTCGTTGTAGCGAGAAGGCAAGAGAGGCAGTAGGAAACGAAGATGAATGCTTACTACGGTGGAGGGAGGAGGAGGATGGCAAGATGGACTGCTGAGATGATACGACGACACCGTATAGAAAGACATGGAGGATAGTAGCAGTATGTATCCAGCATACGGTGGTTGACAGCGGGCAAAACAACCACAATAGAATTTCAAGGCACTTGTTGCGTATTGTCCATGCTCGATGTCGTATGAAACAATTCCCAAAACACATAGCAGACGCCACGCGTAAGCATGTTTCTATACGCATACGCAATAGCAGGGAATTAGGCGCAAGCATGAAGGCCCTATAGAAACGGCTCAAGTGCAACAAACGTCGTATAATTCTTCTTCTGCCCGCTCCACAAGACGTCTATGCCCTTTGTGACGAATGCCTGATCGAGCGTATATGGCGCAGCGCCTGACTGTGTTGAGAAGATGTATGAACTGAATCTTGTCATATGCAGGAAACTCGTAGTGGCTTGGGTAATAAACTTTTGCTCATGGTCTACGACGTGCGGATTGCATCGTGGTGGGGCTAGGTGAAGTGCTTCGTCTCACTCCGTTGGTGGTCGCCTCAGCCTCGACACCCACGACTTCCACGAAATCAAAACGCTTCTTTTGTGATCGACAAGACCCTCGTCGGAGACCTGCGAGTGGTCCGCACATCAGCACCACCACCGAACTTGACGGCACCGTATTTTACAACGGCGGGTTCGATCAGGACCGCGCTCAACCACCCAATGAGTTCGAACCACAGATCTGCGACGTTGTGGACGAAAGGTAAGACCTGGAAAACGTCGGCTGTATCATCCTGTGGGAGACACTAAGCAGGATGACTGTATCACTCGGTGAGGGTGTGGTAAGTGGCTTCTCCTTGGACGCAGAGCTGACTTGCCCAGGGCGCAGACAGTCAAAGGCATGTGACCTCCCACATAGCCTTTTGCTGAGTTTCGATGAACGTACTGCGTCCGGATTGACAGATAGTAGCGATGCGATACACCCGTGGTCAAAATGCCCGTTCCGGTCAAGGCGTGGCTCCTCCGCAGCGGTCAGACTGAGCTCCGAAAACCCTCCTACCTTGAGGCGGCAACCCAAGACAGCGACTAGAAGACATCTCAAGACCTATGGATGGCTAACAGATGTGGCAGTGATCCAGAACGGACGTCGGAGATCGCTTGGTGTCATTTCGGTTCAATACCCTGCTTACGGACGCTCTCAGCAAAGCCACGAAGTGCTTCCCGACCCACCGATACCACAGACATGCCTCGATGATATACGAAAGACCAGAAGCTGATGAGATTCATAGTCATATCAAGCGCGTCAACGCACCAGTCTTGACCAGACTGTTGAGATACCGCTTTGGATTTGGACAGGTCGGTGAAACGGCTGTGACGGCGCTTCTTGAAGCGTATAATACAGAAAAGAAAGCCATGGACAAGTTCGCGCAATCGATCTACATCGTCAAGCTTATAAAAGCAACTCGTAGACAGAACCCGTGGAGCGCGTGATGCTTGTTTGGACAGCGCCCACCACGATGCCTACGATCGCCAATCTACAGCTCACGACAAGTGTAGCGACACACACAAAGAGGTCAAAAACCCTCTGAACGATGCAGTCAGAGGATCAAGGTAGAGCTAGGTATCCCTCGTATATCATAAGGCTCGTGCAACGGAGCAGAGACGTCGCCTCTAAGCACGCCCAGTGTTTGGATGCCCAGTATTTGGATGCCCAGCGGCTGTCTTGACTCTCCGCCGTGAGAAGCAAGGATCACCCATTCGACAACGCATTTGACCAGACGACCTTGCCTTCGCCTTGAAAACGTACAGGATATTTAGAAGTGACACTTCTGAGCTCGATTGCCGTCAAGAGTTGCCGACAGATGGTTTCTCGAGGATAGGGCGCTGATGCGTAGAGCAACGGGGATGGGCATGATCGCATCGGCGACGAAAATGAACACGTCGCAACGAAGTATGCATATGCCGCGAAGTATTGCGCGATTCATTGCTTGTTTTCTGCGGCATCTGACGTCCTCATGTTGGGGGTTCCAAGGACATTCGCGTGTAGCTTCCACGCCGCGTGTCGCAGCAGAATCTTCCCAGCTCTTTCATAACCACAAAACGAATAGTGACCAACAGATGCCTCAGGCTGAGAACTAATGGATAGGCAGCCTTCTCGATAAAGAGGTGAGGTTGGACTGTAAGCATGCCGGCCGAAGTCCGGGAAGCATGACGTGTGGAAGCAAGTGTGGGTCTTCCGCCCAGCCACCCGGATGTTGTGCAGCCGTGAACATCAGTTCTCATCGTCACAGCGAATCTGGCATCTCCGAAACGCTTCAGACCCCTATTCATGGATCAGAGATATGTTCTCGTATGCGACAGAGCATGCGAACGTCAGCAAACATCCGGCGATAAAGAAGAGATACTTACCATTGCGAGCTACGCGGCATACATACGTTCACGACCGCGATGCACGAGACCCGCAGGCTGGATTAGAGTCTGATGATATTGAACATTGAACTTTCTGATGCGCACTCAAACAAGACTCCAGGAAGACTGCCGGCTTTCTCCATCTCCAGTCGCTGCTCGCAACCCTTAAACGTCCACATTATCGGGGTCTCCGACATCTTATAACTATCTCCGCCCTCCAGCTCTTCGGCAATTTTCGACCCTCCAAAAGGTACCAGAATTTGCAACACGGTTCTTCGTCTTCAAATACTTTCATTACCCGATCATCATCCAATCGTTGCTGCCTAGGTGGTAGCTTAGAGTTTGTGGTGTAGATGCTACTGTTGATCGATGTCGCAAAGCTACCTTGACGCGAGGGAGCGCTCGAGCGGTCTACAATAGACTCACTGCGACTCGATACCTTCTCTCCTTGAGATGTACGACCTGAAATTGAGTACTGACGTGCCCGAACGTCCCAGACGCCGTTCAGTTCCGCCCGTAGCAATTCGTTCTCTTCTTGGGCTCTACGATAGTACTCGGCTTCAGATCGCAGACGGAAGATATCTCTTTGTCGGTCCCTGAAGAAGTTAGCGTATGCCTCAAGAGCGGTTTGTATGTGGAAACTGCTTACATGACCGATCGATCACTTCGTTGGATATCCATCGCCGTGATCAACCAAAGCACTCGCATTCTCTTGCAATCCAAGATCATAGCAGGTGAGCTGCTGGAAACAGCAGCCACCAAATCTTTGACTTTGGTGGTCGCGGCGATGGAGATTCGCAACAGAAAGCGTCCTAAAAGTACAATTCTGCGCAAATGCCCAACGTCATTGATGGATAGGGCCCCTACCTCGCCCTATCCAGTCGCC